GAATGAAGAAGATTGCGAGTCTACGTATGCTAAGGTTTGTAACAACGAAGATAACGCAAAACACGTTCATATATAATGGTAGTGGGTGTCCATGCTGGCGATGCATCCCGCGCTCAACTCAAGGCGTACCGCCCTACTTGGTGCAGAGGCAAGATCAGCTCGCATAAAGTGCTCCCAACGTTCATTCAAGAAAGCTGGGTGGAGACACAAGACACTGACAAGATAGAAGTTTGACTGGCCTTGTCTCGCGCCGTTGCCAGTCTTTTCGGTACTTGACCATTTGACCATTCGTACGGTCTCGGCCGCCGCTGAGACACAAGCCGCCAGTCTTCTCCAGGTGTCATGAAGTACCTCGTTCACGATCGCACCGTACGAGCAAAACGAACGTGTCATTTTGCCATAAAAAAGACAGCCGATCGATCATGCACTGTCCAAAATGGTCTTGTCCGTTGAAAAATTCCGCTGGGAGAAGCGCTTTCACATCACGATTCTCGCTGCAATGCAACCAGCTTCCGACACGGCACCGTTCGTCGTCATGGAAGGCGCCGTCACGCGCGAAGGCCTCGAGGCCGCCGCCACCCTCTTTCAGGCGCAGGTCAACGACGCGCCACGCATGCTCGTAGCGCGCAACGTGCCGTTGGTCGAATGGCTTGCCGACGACTACGACAGTCGTCTCTGCGGCGCCATCTTGTCGGTCACGTACGAAGGCGAGGCCGACGACGTGTCGACGCTCGCGTCGATCTACATTGTCCGCGCCATCACGCGGCCGCCATATAGCACGACTTTCGAGATGGCCCAGAGCCGTCCGATCATTGCGAACGGCGAGGTGCGCATCGCCGACTCGCAGATGGCGTGCGTAGACGCCAACGGCGCCATGCTCCCGCCGATCATGGTCATTGAGCTCGAGGTCGTGAACCGAAGCATATCGACCATCGTGGCCTGGATGCAGGGCTACTTTGACATGCTTGCGGGGCTGCGCGTGGCGCTGGCCTTCAAGTACTTTCTCGACGAGGACGCAGAAGATCCCCAGCGCTTTAGCGCAGTCGTGCTCCAGTACGGTCGCAACGCGATGGGCCACGTGGTGCTGCAGTTTGCAGCCAGCTTTGGCTCGGTTTCGTTGAGCCTGGACGAGAAGGCGACGATCGACGACGACATTTTGGCCACGATGAAGGT